ATATATATATATATATATATAATTTTATGTGTACAGGGTTTTTGCCTGCATGTAGTCCTGTGTATGGCATGACTGCCTGAAGACTTCAGAAACCAAAGGGCAGATGGTCCCCAAAACTGGAATTACATGCAATTGTGAGCCTCTATGTAGGTGCTGGGAGCTAAACCTGGTTTCTCTGCAAAAGTATTAAGCACTCTTAACCACTAAGCTAATATGTACACTTTTTTAAGTTTTTTGAGACAGTCTCTTCCTGTGTATCTAAGCTGTCCCAAACCCCTGGTGATTCTCCAGTCTCTGTCTCCTGAATGCTGGGGTTTACAGATGTGAACTATTCTGTCATTCCAGCTTTTTCACTGGTCCAGTTTTGGGGAGGGAAGGGAGCATGCACGCTGTGACACACATGTGGAGCCCAGAGAAGAACCTGCAGAAACTGGTCACCTCAGCCAAGGCAGTGGTGGCGCACGCCTTTAATCCCAGCACTCAGGAGGCAGAGGCAGGTAGATCTCTGTAAATTTGAGGCCAGCCTGGTCTACAGAGAGAGTTCCAGGACAGGCTCCAAAGCTACAGAGACACTCTGTCTCAAAAATAAAAAAGAAGAAAAAATTTGTTATCTGCTACCACATAAGTTAGAGGGATTAAACGGGTACAGAGGCTTGCCAGAAGACTCATGTACCTACCAAGTCATTTGGAAGTGGGATATAAAACATTTTAATTATTTTTGACATCTAGTCTCCACAGTGTAGCACTGACTGACCTGGAACTCTCTATTGTAAGCCAGTCTGTCCTCAAATCTATCCATTGAGAGATTCACCTGCCTCTGCCTTCTGCATGCTGGGATTTTGCTATTGTTGTTTTGCTTTGCTTTGTTTTGTTTTTTGAGACAGGATTTCTCTGTGTAGCTTTGGAGACTGTCCTGGAACTCACTCTGCAGACCAGGCTGGCATCAAACTCAGGGAGCTGCCTGCCTCTGCCTTCTAAGTACTGGGATTAAAGGTATCACCACCATGGGGTCACTTTCTTTGTGTCACGAATATTCACATTTTTCTCTATTAAATACCTGAAAAATGCAATGTTTTTATTAGAGACACATGTAGGCAGGGCATAGTGGCAATTACCTATAATCCCAACACACAGGTGGCAGAAGCAGGTAGATTTCTGTGAGTTCAAGGCCAACCTGGTCTACACAGAGAGTTTCAGGTCAGCCAGGGCTACATAGTGAGACACTGGCTCAATTAAAAAAAAAAAAGAAAAGTCAAAGGCAAATTCTCAACGGCTGAACACCATTATTATTACTTCCAAGCATACAAATTTCTGGATTGTTTACTTGACAGTAAAATGACCCAACGCAGACCCAGGCAGATTACTGGGAGCCAGGAATTGACACCAATTTTAAAAGGGAAAGGAAAATGTTAAATATAAAAAAGTCACAAAGTGGGCTGGAGAGATGGCATAATGGTTAAGAGCACTGACTACTCTTCCAGAGGACCAGGGTTCAATTCCCAGCACCCACATGGTGGCTCACAATATAATGCGATCTGATGCCCTGTTCTGTCATGCAAGCACACATGCAGGTAAAGCACTCACATAAGTAAATAAATTTAAAAAGAAAAGAAAATGAAAACAACCAGGCAGTGGTGGTGCACACCTTTAATCCCAGCATTGGGGAGGCTGAGACAGGCAAATCTCTGTGAGTTCAAGGCCAGCCTGGTCTACAAATAAAGTTCCAGGACTGCTAGGGCTGTTACACAGAGAAGCCCTGTCTCAAAAACTAAAAACAAGCCAGGTAGTGGTGGTGCACGCCTGTAATCCCAGCACTTGGGAGGCCGAGGCAGGCAGATCTCTGTGAGTTTGAGGCCAGACTGGTGTACAAGAGCTAGTTCCAGGACAGGTTCCAAAACTACATAGAAACCCTGTCTCAAAAAACCAAACAAACAAATAAAAAGTCACAAAGTATAACAGGACAGGGTAGTACTGTGATCCCAGACACTGAGAGTGAGCCAAGAGGATTGAAATTTCAAGGATGCCCTGCTATTTAAAAAAAAAAAAAAAAGTAAAAAAGTGAGCTGAGATGTAACTTAGTACTAAGAGTTCATGATCTACGTTCTAATACTGCAGAGACACACACACTCACACACACCACACATAAAAAATGTTCAAGAACAATCAGAGAATTCTTTGTGGAAGGCTTAGTTGTTTACTGAGTTGCCAACAGGTTGACAAGATGTATGGGGAACTTGAGAACCTTGCAAGTGTTGCCTCTCACTCACCACCAGGGGGCGATGCCTGTAGTTAGAAACCTGACTCCATTCTGCTAGTCATTACTCTGGAAGGCTGGCAGGGTCCCAGATCGACAGACAGGAGGTGCTGAGCTTCAAGACTAGCTTTTGTCTATGTAACAAGTTCAAGGTCAACCTGAGTTACATGAGACCCTGTCTGGCTCTTGTTTCTCCTATCCCTCTATCAGTCTGCCTACCTCTTTCATGTTCCCAATCTGACATACTGACATGGCCTTTTGCTCTTTCACTCTCTCCCTCTGCCTCCTTACACTAGCTCTAAAAAAAAAAAAAAAAAAAAAAAAAAAAAAAGAGGGGGAGATGGGTGGCTGGGTTTGAGGATTGCCTGCTTTTCTAAAAAGGTCCTGAGTTCAGGTCCCAGCAACCACATGGTGGTTTACAACCATCTGTAATGAGATCTGGTGCTCCCTTCTGGCCTGCAGGCATGCAAGCAGGCAGGATGCTATATACACAATAAATAGATCTTTAAATAAATAAATAAAAATTAAAAAGCAAAGTGGGGGGGGGGGAGTCTGGCTGGGCAGTGATGGCCCACACCTTTAATCCCAGCACTCTGAAGGCAATAGCAGGCGGATGTCTGTAAATTCAAGGCAAGTTCCAGGATAGCCAGGGCTGTTACACATAGAAACCGTGTCTCAAAAAACAAGCAAAAACAAAAACTAGGGGCCTACAGGATGGATCAATCAGTAAAGTTAAGATTCCCCCCACACTAGGACCCTGGTAAAAGCCAAACATTACATCACACATCTCTAATCCCCAAACTAGAAAGGCAAAGACAGGTAGGTCCTGGAGGTGATCTCTAGATTCTTGAAAAGACCCTGATGAAAAAGTTAGGTAGAGGGCCAGGAAAGTTGCTCCATGAGCAAAAGTGCTGTCACCAAGACTGGTAACTTGAGTCAGAGCCCTGCAACACACGTGGTGGGAAGTGGAAAACCTAGAAATTGTTCTTGAACCCCCCCACACACACATCTTGACATTCACAAGTGTTATTGTGTGACCACACACATAAATGTAGGACTAAGGTGGAAAGCAATTGAGGTAGGAAGATGGCAAATTCAAGGCCTGCTGGGCTACGCGGTGAATTCACGGTGGTTCCCAGCACCCACAAAGAGCAGCTCACCACAGCCTGTACCTCCAGTTCCAGGGGATACAACTACCTCGCATGGCCATATGCACAGAGACACACATACATACACACACGAGACTTTTTTTAAGTTTTAAAAAGCGTTTTATTATTTTATGTATGTGGTTTTGCCTGCACATATGTCTTGTATGCAGTGCCTGAACAGGCCAGAAGTGGGAGTCAGATCCCCAGGACTAAAGTTATAAATGAGCTCCCTTGAGGGTCCTAGAAAGCCAACCCTGAAAGATCAGTCAGTACTCTTACCCACTAAGCCATATCTCCAACCTTTACAAACAATTTTACTTTATTTTTATTTTTAATGGGCTAGGATTTATCCAGATGTGTGAAGTCCTAAATACACACACACACACACACCCTCAACCACACCACATAGTCAATTCAGGACCAGTAGTGCATTTCAGTGGTAGGAGTTCTGGGTTCTAGACCCAGCACGCAGAACCAAGTCTAAATCCCAAGGTTGTGAGGACTCAGGTTCCCCGGCGCGGTCAGGAGGCCCTTGTGCTTTCACCTTACGCCGCTAGGTGGCAGCAGACGCACGATGGATTCGCGGCTCAGGACCAACGCGGGGGCAACTCAGGCAGAGGAAGCTGATGAAATCCTAGCCAACTTGCAGTGAGCTCATCCCGCCCGGGCGCCTCCGGAAGCCACGGGGCCGCCTGGCCGGACCGATAACGCTCTGGTTTGGAACCAGGGCGGGAAGTCCTTCCTGAAGTCTGCCTTGTATAGGACCTGTTGCCAGAAGCCTGGGCATGCGGGGAGGGGAGGGGGAAAGGTGGGGAAAGGTACCCGCTGGCTGTCTCTACACAATAAAAAAGAAAGTGAATTCTGAGCCTAGCGGTGGGATGGAGAGCAAGACGGGAGGGAAGGAAGAAAAGGAGGAGAAGAGAGATGGATGCGTATGGGAGAGACTTTTGGGAGCGACAAAGATAGGGAAACTGAGGTAGAGGTGGGGGAGACAGAGGCAGGCTCAAGGAAAAGCAAAGATAGAAAAAAGGCGGGACGTGCGAGACAGAACTAGGGAGAGACCCCCGGCAACAGGGACCAAGAGAGTGGCAGGAATACTGAGGCAGAACGGGCTGTTATCACATTGGAGACGGGAGGGACCAGGCCCTGCGGGATGGGGCGCATTGTGGGCCCGCCCAGCCCCCCAGCCCCGCGGCAGCGCGGGCCAGTTACCAAGTTACCAAATTACCGCAGGATTCCGGAGCTTCTGACTGGCGAGGCCGCAACCAATCAGCGAGCAGCGCCGCTGTTCTCGGGCAGGAGGCCTGGAGACACGCGCACCTTCCCACACCCAGGAAGCCGCTGACACAGGCTCGGTGGCGCGCGCCTCCACTGTCCCGCGGCCACGCGGTGTTCCTCTCCACTGTAACACACACACGGAGACCATACACAGACACACACGCGCGCGTGCACATGTATACGCATTCGTACATGTACACACATTCACACGTGCACACACAGACAACACAGATAGGCATATGCACACATGCACATACATATAAACGCACAAGTGCATACATTCTCTTATACACATGCACATACACAAATGCACACATGCACATACACACAAACATACACCATACATGCATATATACACAATCACACACACTACAGGCATGCACAATCCCCAAAACACAGACATGCACGACCTGGGATACTCAGCACTACACAGCATTCTGAGGTCAGTAGAGCAATGCACAGTCCACACACACCTCTTCACTGACACACAATGGCCTTGTCACAGGTAACAGTGACACAGCCATAAGCCCCTACCCGCACTATCACAACCATACACAAGAGTGAGACATAATAATCTACACAATCTCACTAATGTGTACACAGTTCCAGGGACAAACCCCCCAACCTGAAGGTGTAACCATAGTGACATAATCAATGACACGTGGCATTGTATAGATAACATATATGTGTACCATGTAAACACGCCTCATCACTATGACACACATACAGTCGTACTGGTGCTTTGCATGACGGACACCATCAGAGGGACACACAACCACACTGACATCAGTACAGGGATACAACATGTCCACAAACCTTCCACACACACGTGGCTGTGACACAATTCCAGTGTTACCCAAACACAACCCCACACCGGTACCATTACATTAACATATATATGCTGGCCCCACTGCCTATATCTGCACACTTGTCACATGAGAGCATCCCATAGTAGCTCAAGGACTCACAACTATTTTGTCACAACAGCCTGTAAATACATATCACCATACTTAGCATGCTGACAGGAACCATCACACTGACACACTAACCCCCTGACATAACTTCCTGACACACTGGCCACACACCTAGAGAAAACTGTCACTCACACAAACACACACATCATCCCTGTCCTGGTCCCTGGAAGCTAAATGCACGTGGGATGCTGGGAGAGAGATGCAGGGAGGACGTGTGTTTGTGTATTTGTGTGCAGTTCCTCCCTCTTCCTGCACTTCCTGGGGGCGGGGCCAAGCGGCTGCCGCTGTTACCGGGTAAACTTCCCCGCCTCCCCCCAGTGAGGCCATTAGTCACCCCCCCCAGGATGATGTCATCGCCTCATTCTGGAGGCTGAGTAATCCTAGTCCCCGCCCCCTCCCCCCAGGTACCAGGGAAGGGGTGGACCGCACCTGGGCTCCGCGGAGGACTGGAGCTGGGGTCCGGAGCTAAAGGCTCGCGCCTTGGCTGTCCCTGGGGTGGGGACTGAGGAATCTGGGTCTCTCTAAAGTGACTTAAGAACGCGTATTAGGGTCCCTGGAGACTGGGCTTCCAGCCCTGGATCGGGCCTAGCAGACCCCTGGATCTTCTTTTTCTTAATGCTCACTCATTTGCTTTGTGTTTGATGTGGGGTTTGCTTTTTATTTATTTATTTATTTATTTATTTAGCAGTGCTGGGGCTTCACCCATGCTAGGCAAGGTATCCACCAATGAGCTACATCCACATCCC